ACGTCCCACATATTTAAAAAAGAAATGTTTGCAAATCAACCAGAGAAAATGTGGGCCAAAAGTTTTTGCATTCCTTCCTCCGACATTTTTTTTTTTTTGCAAAAATTTTTGATTCCCTAGAATTGTTTTTGTCCATTTTCACACTACCATTTTACAACTCGAATCTTCTCAGTATCTGAATGTATTTGTTTCATTCATTGATTCAATATTTTCTGGGAAAATATCATTTTAGCCCTACAGTGCTTTATACTGAAAAATGCTAAATATTCCACAGTAATCTTTCAAAGTGGTTACCTCTTACATGTAGTATAGCTTCTTCTTTTCAACAAGATTTTTTTAAAGATATTTCCGATGAAAACAATAAAAGTGAAGCTACCTTTCGTTACGAGAGATACTTAACATACACAGAAACACACAAGGCAGTTCTACAATATTCATATGGCATAACATTATCCCTTAGTCATGGAAAACTACAGTGAAAACATCCAACATCTCCAAAACCACCTGTTGGAATGGGCAGTAATCCATTATGGAACACGGCTTCAAAATATTCTAGAAACCTAAAGACAAGCCTTAAATGCTTTCAGTAAAGAAAACAAGCATTAGTACTTCTTATTACCATATCTAAGAGATATATGAATATCATATGACGATCCTCTGGGAATTCTACACAATTAAGCATGTCAGTATATTATGCTAAGGATGTATGGTTGTGGACAGATATACAGGTGTTGAAATGTGATATGTTTTGATTACTAAAAGCGATGACAACCCACCAGCCAAGGACACACAAGTAATATAATAATCCACAATGCAATGGACAATTTATTACAATACCACATCGAACCTCACCCCCGATTCAAATTTGATTATGAATATGACTGAAATTAATTTCAGGGCATGTTTCCATCGCTTATATCTCTTGGTACATGTGGTAATAATATTTTTAGGTGAGGGTTTGTTCATCATATTTTCTTCTCTTTATTTTTTTACTGGCAGACGGCAGACTAAGGGTTGTGATGCATAAGCAATGAAGTAGGTAGGATGAGGCTTGCATTATAAAAAGGAAGCAATGGTGGATATATATTGCTGGGTACACCTACGTCTGAATCTGGTCCGGTATCCGCTCCCGGGCACTGGAAAGTCACGTATTCGTGGCATCGCTTGTGCACAACAAAGCTGCATACTGTTGTTGGTTCCAGAGGGGGGTAAACATAAACAAAAACAACAACAACGCGATGAGTGCACGGTAGGGGGAGGAGGAGGTGGTGGGATCATGTCATAGGCAGGCAGATATCGCTTTTTACGATCGGAATCGACGTCAGCGGCCCCGGCTCTGAAACCGAGTGGGGGGGAAGCCATCTTTGTGTGTTGATTTCAACAACAACCAAAAACGACGGTTACATTTTTTTTAAAGGACACGCGGCGTAACCCTTAAGGGGACGGGACCACACGACCTATCAACCGTATTTAGATTGCGTTTCGGACATGTAAAATGCAGCTGTTTACAAAGATTTATGTAGGGCAAACGACGTGAAAACATAAACAACCCACCTTGACACTGGAAGCCTTGTTTGCCGAAACCCCTGTACAAACACACGCGCCATGACAGGAAGATTAGACAAGAAAACCACACAGAATCGGCAGGAAGAAAATAGTCGTGTCTTCGAGAGCCTGTGAAACAATATGCTCCACCAGATCAACAATTAAATTCCCTCGCAAAGGGCATGGGGTGAAACCTGTCACTGTGCTCTCACACAACAACGAGACGACCTACTCACCAGATGAAATCCTTGCAGTGGCTACAGAACGTCGGCTGCTTGAAGAACCTGGCGATAAACTTATGATCCTTGACTTCGTGGACGTTCTTCTGTCTCAGGGCACCTTTGCGGGCAAACCCACGCGGCTGGGTCTCCTTCTCTTCGGCCATGGTGGTGCCACTCCCCGAGCGCGGTCCCCGTGCGTGCGCTGGCGATCTGGAGGTGGGCCGCACACAAAAAGAGAAGGAAGCACTCTCCAACAATCAGGAATAGAACTGGTGGATTACCCTGCGTTCTTGATTATGATATAGAACATCGATCCCTTCTACACTGGCTAAATGCACGTTGTTACACCACTGACTGATATCGCCCCGCCCTCGTTCGCAAACTAACGTTGGGGGCTTCTTCAATCTCAACCCCTGTTTCCCATCACCTGGCATACGTAAATACCACTTTACAACATTGTCACGTACATCCTTTAGATATATTTCATCGCCGTTACCTTTTAAACTCTATCCCTACATCGAAAATTGCTTACGAAATCAACAGATTAATGTTTAACTTAAAGTAAACACAATCGGCAACAGAGATTTTTGTGCATGCAAGCGCGCTGCGCATATATAATAGAGAAACGGGTCAAAGGTTACAGGTGGGATATTCTGTCACCAAGCAAAGGGGGCAGTGAAAAGAATGCTTAAGGTCAACACGGTATCATGGTACAGCGTTAAGGTATACTGGGTTTCAGGAAATGCATTCTTTCTGTCTGTTTGCGTTTGACATCAGAAATGACCGCCAAAGGTGACTCGTTCCACCATTTTGTAGGGAACGCTAATTCAAGGTTATAGGACAATCACTGAGAGTGGAGAAATGAGATTGCACACGTACACAGCTTTAAGCGGATATTAACCAAATGCAGCATCAATATGCAACCGTAATAGGCAATGTGGAATTCTAAACATGTCTCTTATCTATAGGTATTGCGTGGATCCTCAAAATACCACCTTATGGAGTTACGTCATACCCAGACTGATTTATATGATTTAACGTTCGGGGCTTACTTTGAATATATATCTATATACATATTCCCGTATTAGAAAGCATACAGTACGTGGCTGTGTCTATATATTGACGTTTGAATTCTGTGATATGTTTAGAATTTACCTAATCATAAACTGCGGTTTTTCACAGAGCAGCTAAAATCGAACGTCTGACTTTTTACATAAATAACGTTCAAATTTCCGTGTCAAAAAATGAAGGGTATAGCATTGTAATGTTATAACAGAAAATAGGGAGAGAAACGGAATAAAAAATCTTACTAGTTTATGGTGAATATTAAGTTACTCAAGAGCCATACTTTAGTACATGCACCTATCGCTGTAAAGCCTGTGCATAGCAAAAGAACAAGTTAAGGTGGGAGGGGGCGGTTACCAGGACTGAGAATGATAATGAACTATTTTGCCTTTTGAGATATTAAAGAATTGCCATATATGTTACAGCAAAACCTGTCTATCAAATAAACACAGTAAACAGGTGTCCACTATGGACTAGCACTGAAGGCCCACCATAGCCTAGTGTCCGGCCTGGTTAGCTTTAGTTCGCTTCAAATGGTAGTTACGGGAGCGACCTAAAGCTAGCAAGGCTGGACTACAGGCTAGGTAGGACCCGGCCAAACAGTGGCCAGCGTGGGCAGGTGGTCACTAGAACAGAGGTGGTCACAAGAACAGGTTTGACTGTACACACTACTCTACAAGCAGAGGTTGTGGGGGAATGATCGTTAGCTTTTTATATATGGCCGTTTTTTTTTTTTTGTCTCTCGTCGGTGGCTAGCGACCTTCTCTGGCGAATGGATACTGCCTGGCTAATTTGACTGTCTTTTTGCCACCGAAAGGGATCTGCTTGGAGATCATTTACACACATATTAAATTGATAGACAGCGTAATTTGCATAATAAGCTGCGCACAAATCCGACATTCACACTGTGATAATTACCTAGACCGCTCTCTCTTCTCCCTAGGTTTCTTGATCAGATTCAATCCTAGCTTCATCGTTGTAATCCCACAGAACGCTTACAACAGGTGCAGGAGTACCATCCAGACTGGATCACGGAGGATTTTCCCCAAGTACAGGTCTATACACCCGTGACACTCAATACAAACACTTCATTTGCTTCGTGACTTATAAGACCACTCCCACCAACTACAAGCGACCAACCATTGAACCAGACCGACCGGTTTTTGTTCAACCCTTACCCTTTCTTTATCCACCTTGTGTATCCGGTGTCAAGCTTCGTTACAAAGTCCCGCACAGTGCAAGGGAAGACAGGAAGTGCCACTGTTTCTTTTATTCGCAAACCTCCGGCAGGTGGCCACCAGGGGCGAGATTTTTTAGCAGACTAGATTATTAGACCAGGGATTTAGCCAATTTTACTATACGTTGTTACCAGTTGTTAAGTGATCACACACTGTTTACATACACTATTACTGTTCTCAATCTGCAGAATATAAAACTTCACGGAGAATTGTAGCCTATATGGACACTTGTTCGTGTTCTTTTCTTCCGGTAATGTTTAACATCAAGCAATGAAAACTTACTAACGTTAGGCCATGTTGAGTTGATTATATGGATGACATCCACGCGCGAATGAATTTTCGTCCGTTTCCGGAAAAAAAAGAGTTTTCGACTACGCATACTGTAAATCGTACAAAGCAGCTACAAAGTAAGCAAATAATGAAATATATGCCTTACGTTGAAAAAATATTGGAAAACGATACTAATGATGTAGAATACCTAGAAAATGTGAGTATATTATTTGCCATACCATACTCCGTGTTTAAGTCATTTGTTTATCATGACCAGCGACCACGTTGATTTCATAATAAAGGCAACTTTTTTTGCCAAAACCTCTAGGGTTCCCTCTGGGGTTGATTGCATATGTTTGTGACTGTTTGTTATAGTCGCTCAATAATTTCTATCATTGTCCCATTTATTTAGCAGTGGTGTTACCACAGCATGGTCATCGCTTGTTATGATGTTTATTTTTTATTTAATTGTTTGTTTGTTTGTTTGTTTGTTTGTTTTATCTTTAGTCAAGATTCGTTTTTCATCTAGTATGTATTTTTCTGATCAAGCAGATGTAGGGTTAGACAGTGTAACATTTCATCATTCTGGAAGTACATATAGTAATAGTTTTATCCCTCCAACTATGGTTCATACAAAGGGCTGTATCTAAAAGAAATGGACTACTAGATCAAAAAATGTATTGAAAACGTAATAAAACATTGAGCTCGTCTTCACATCTGCTTGGATATATGTTTTAAGGTTTCAGAGAGTAAACTCCGCCCATATGCAGTTTACATGACAATGCCTTCTATTCTTAGACTACTTAGAGCCACAGTGTTTGCCAGGAGTCAGTGACCCATTCTCCGAAGGTTACCTTCAATGGGCTGTTCATGGAAAATGTCAAATCTGCTGGTTTGATACGTGTTAAGCCATTTGTTATTTTCTGACATGAAAGATGTGGAATCACGCGCAATCGGTATGGATTAACGTGTTCTACGAGCACAAAACGCCGCATTTGTGTTGGATTTAATGGACTTAATGAGTTGCTTGTGTGCGCTAACCGTAACGTAGGGCCCAAGGCTGGCTGTATTTTGCTAGTATTGAATGGCTGGTGTTCGATCGACCAGCTGGTGGGCTTAGAAAGGGGTTAAACGAGGTCATGCAATCTGGCACGTCGCCAGGACCAAATCCAAGTAGATGTTTGGTGTTTTTCTTTAACTTCCGCCAAGAAGGTTAAAATATGTTGTGTTGCTGTTTAGGTTGAACAGCATAACTGAAGAGGCTGTGAAATGATTTTCATGATGTTTAATGTGGGGGGTTAGAGCATTATCTATGGAAGAATTGATTTGATGATCCCCTGGCGGATGTCCTTGGTATTGCATCGGAACTGTATTGTCTTGATTTTTTACTGACAGGCAGCTAAAGAAATATAGGCCTCCAAGAAACTTTCTTTAAAATAAAACTTCATGTGCGTTTTTCCTGGTATCAAACTTATTTCAAGACTAACAAATTGCATAAATTGGGATTTAATTTTCATACTTAATGACGAAAATTCATAAATATACTATTTTAGCATTTAAGACACAGCCTACATAGATTTGTACACAAAAATTGTAGACCGTCTTGCTTTGGATGAGTAAGGTCGATTTTCTCAGTGTTGCACTCAAACGTCTGATCGGAGATTGCATTGAACAACCCCAAAAGCGTCAACGTCACTAAAAGTAGAGTACATTTTATATACATCCAAACGCACCATATTTATACCACGCGGTACGTCATACCGACACGGTAACACACCCACGCAACACGTCCGCCGCGCATTCGGCAAGCATTCGTGGGTTTTCGGGATCGTTTAAAGCCAATGAGACCGAGGTTTTACGTAGGCGGTGTGACGATAGAAGCGACAACGGCTGACGCGATTGTACGCTTGGAAGCGCCCGTGTGGCTGCAGCTTAACTCTGGCCCAGCCGACGCAAGCTGACACATATAAGAAGGTCAAGAGATCAAGGAATCAATACTGTCTGACTATCGAGCATAGTAATGGAGGCATACATGATGTAAATAAATATGAAGATGCCCTAAATTGATGCTGTTTGGATGTTCTCGTATTACTTACCAGTACGGAAGTAATTGTTATGGGTGGCTGAGTTGTGGGTGGGTGTTTCTGTTTGTCCTAATAGCAACGTTGTGAAATATGTGACTACAGATGTGTACATATGAAAATGTACATGTGAATAGTGAAATGGGGGCGCCAGACGCCGCCATTTTGGTATTTTTCTTTATTTGCCTTGTCCTTACTCCAGTTTTTAGATAATTACTCAATTCTGGCATGTCCTTCTTACATTTTCCACAAATTTGACAATAACGTTTTGCCAATGAATATATACACCTTTATGTAGTAAGTTTAAACTGTAATTTCCAACACAACAAAAATTGGACTCACCCAAATTTTCGACTGTACAACTCCAGTCTTTTTCAAGGAATGAGCAATCCACCGCTTCCGTGACGTCACGCAGATAACACACGTGACTCCGTGAGCAGTGGATCATAGGTTGCAGAAAGTCTGTGGCGCCCCCCGTCTCTGTTGAGGGATGGCTGTAAAGCCCTGATGTATATGGCCTCTTTAATCCCTCGTGCAAAAAAGTCCGGTTCTGTGTCCAAGATTTTTACTTTGTCCAGTGAGACTGAATGTCACGGAAGCGGTGGATTGCTCATTCCTTGAAAAAGACTGGAGTTGTACAGTCGAAAATTTGGGTGAGTCCAATTTTTTTTGTTGTGTTGGAAATTACAGTTTAAACTTACTACATAATGACTTCTACCAACACAGATGAACTTTCAAGATAATATATACACCTGTTAGCCGTGTGAGTGACAACACTCAGTTACAATACATCTGTTTCTGTCTAATTCTTTGTCCACTGATGATACGCTTATTAATTCCATGAAGTTAGGTTAACCATCCAACATGGCGGACAATACTGACGTCATAGTCACGTGAGAGAAAACACCCTGTGATATACCTCCCTAAAGTCGGCTCTCTTTCACCTACGCTCGGAAGCCACTCTCGGCGTCATAACCCCCTAGGTGCCGCGCCTACACAATTTCAACCCACGTCAGACGTTGTCTTATACTGCGACTACCACGCAGCCCCCCTCCACCTGCCATGTATGTAGAATACCAAACAAATCGATTCATTTTCCACCCTCTATACATGCGTGTCCTACGACAGTGCACCATGTGTGTACGTGTATATTTTCGTGTTCATTCTACACCCTCTATACTTGCCTGTCCTACGACAATGCCCTATGTGTGTACGTGTACATGTACGTGTGCATTCTACACCCTCTATATATACTTGCCTGTCTTACGACAGTGCACCATGTGTGTACCGTACTTGGTTTTTTGAATACGTACGTGTTGCACATGAAAGTGCCAGTCACGTTCTACAGTCCCTCATTATAGGGATACCAAAACATGTCCGTGTTTCTGGGACAGTCACTTAAAAAAATACACTGAGGCCGTACCAGTGGAAACTATCTAATTGGCCCCTGTGCCTAATTAGGTTTAACTCCACCAAGACTACAATTTCAACCTTGGGAAAGGTTCGCCTTTGGAACTTCGCGTTTTAACCAGATTGAAACAATTCTTGGATTAAAAAATCGTAAACATAATGACGAATAAGCAGCTTGAAGCTGAAAACGAATTTCACAGAAATATTTCTGCCTGTCTCTGTCTCTCTGAATGCGTCACAATTTGGCTTCTATTTCAAGTTTTCACACAACTATTGTAGCTCTTTTACCGTAATTGAATGTTTGTCATAGATTTGAATTCATTACAGATGTGTCCTACGAATGATTTCCTTTAAATATAGTTCAGGTACTGCACAATGTTGCCGATATTATAGTGTATGAATGTGGCGGCATGTCCCCAATAACTTACCACACGTAGTGTAACCACGAATTTGTATTCTTTGCCGTGATTTCAAGAGATTTATAGACTGCCATACTTAAACATAAGTGCCCTTATCGTAGTTTTCCAGATAACGTTGGCTTCTCGATCCTTACAAACACGCTCGGGGCTGTACGCTGCTATCTGGGTGTGCCGAAGCTTTGTTTTCTTCAAGTATGTGATGCGCACTTTAACAGAGACACTGTGTCGTCTGCCAAATGCCAATAGGCTGGATGTGTAAGTTGTAACAGTTTAACGACAGATACAGTTAGTTACACGCCTGTTTGTACGGACGAATAACTTGGCCAAAAACGGACGTTTGTTGATTTTCCCAAAAGCATTTTTGTATCTGTATCTGTGTAGCCGGGATAACCGCCTTTCGGCGAAACACACCAGCTTCGCAGGCACGCGGCGCGGCGGCAGCTGGCTACATTGCACCGATCGACTTGTTACACCTAACCCTTGAACATTTAACTCTAGACATTGTTTAAAGCTATCTAATGATAATGCCCCTACTGTACTTGGTGACAGCGAGTTCCACTCTATCTGCGATAGTTCTAGGTTCTAGGAAAGAATGAATTCTTGAACACCTCAATCCTTGGTTGATAACTCTGGTACTTGAAGGTATGGCTATTTCTTGTTCTCGTCTGGGCTGATTTGGGCTCATTTGGCACCATGAGCAAGACAGAGCTTCCAAGGTCCTTCGATTCAGCATGCAAACGATGTATACTAGTCATCCTAAGATCGA